AACATCTATCATGATAAAATTACTATGAGCATCAGCAACTGCCATCAAAATAATAGAATGGAAATGTTTGTAATTATAATATTGTGAACCTGCATGGGGTGGGCATTTTATTGCACAATGTTTACCGTCTACACTGCCAATACAGTTAGGCATTTTGCACACTTCATTAAACGATTCTGCACTTTCGTTCCATCTTTGTGTTGTAGGAACAGGCATACATAACGGCTGTAGAATTCTCCATACTGCTGAATTCATTTCTGTGATTATATAATGGATGGTGCTTATTCCAATACGAAAAGCGTAGCTTAGTGACGTAAATGTTTCTCCTGTGGCCAAATACCTAAGAAGAAAAAAGAAATATCATTCCATTGGGGTCATATTTTATTTGTATTGTCTTTTCAGATAAGGAGGCCAGATTTAAATGGCAGAATTTGAGAAGTAATTATATGCGAGAAAGAAGGAAGCTGAGTACAATACCATCTGGTTCCGCCGCAGATAGTTCAAAAATAACTTGGCCCTTCTTCACCTTGCTCTCATTTTTGGATGTTAGTCTCAGCCACAAGAAAACAACGGGAAACGTTCCCAACACAGAAAGCGGAAGTATGGAAGAAGAGTCGCAGCAAAATACTGAAGAAGAAAGTCATGAGGCTGGAGAAGAAGAGAGCCAGAATGTTTCTAAAATTAATGCTACTGAAAATTTTGAGTCACAAAATACGAAAGATACTTCCTCAGAGAATAGAAAACGGAAGAAACCTGGAGCATCTGGACAAGATTACATCGATAAGATGTACCTGAACATGCTGGAGAAGGTGACCACTAGACGTCAAGATGATGATGATCCAGATTTCATGTTTCTAAAGAGTCTACTTCCTAGTATTAAGAAACTGGGGCCCCTTGAAAATCTAGAGTTCAGAGGGGAGGTAATACAATTATTGAGACATAAATTAACATCTGCGTCCCCTGTTCAGTTTCCCTCCAATCCATCTTCTGTTCAGTCAAGATATGATCAATATTCTCGGTCATCATCATCACCTGGGGCCTATTCTGAGTTCTCCATCCAGACAGATCAGCAGGTAGTTAATCAGCCATTGTCTCAAACATGTGAATTTCAAAATTATCAGCTTTGAGCCATGCCTTTATACTTCTTTTCTCAATAAAGAGTAACAAATAAGCAAGTATTAACTTTATTCTCACCTGAGATAAACAGCTAATCGTTCCTGTGGTGATATAGAAGCTCTGTAGTTTGTATTTTGTTTCACTATGTAGTCATGCAACATATTTTCTAGCTCATAGAATCTTTCACTACTCATTCGAAAGTAGTTATAAAATTTCCTTGGATCATTTAATAAATCTGGAAACAGATGTTTGAAAGTACCAAATGCATCTCTCTTCATGTTAATAGGATGAATCCAAAACATTTTCTTTCGCCTTCTTTCCCTCCTCCTCTGCAATCTTCTAAGTATAATAAACGCAATCATTTCCACGTCCATCTGGCCAGGAGAAAGAATGATCACTGACTGACAAAGACGTATTCAGTATGAAACCTAATGACTGGACTGGACTGGCGTTGACGTGACTGAACTGGACTGGCGTTGACGTGACTGGACTGGACTCATTCGGTGCGAAAGGACCCTAACCAGTTACGTGACCTCGCTGTAACTGTATGCCCCTGCAAAGGAAAATAAATGCCTTTATTTCTTCAAGCTGTACATAGCAAGCTGTCAGTGAGTAGTGCAATATGGATCAAGGACGAAAGCAATTTCTCGGAGAACAAGATATATCTGATTTGCTCTCTGATGAGCTATCTGATGTGCCTGGTGAAAGTAGTGATAGTGACTCAGATATTGGCAGTGAACAAGGAAGTATTGTGGCCACAGACTGTAGAAGTGAAAGTAGCTCCGATGAAAGTGTGGGTAGTGACAGTGGGGTGACAGCCACATGGGGAAAAGTAGACAAAACGCCTGCTTTGGGGCAGTTTACTGGAAATACAGGGGTGAAACAATTTCCATTGGACCCAACGCCAGTGTCTGAAGTAGTGAAACTGTCTTTTGGAGATAGTTTCTTTGACATGCTATGTCAGGAAACTGACAGATACTATCTCCAACACCGTGAACATTATGACAGAAGTTAGAAGGCGTTGAAGTGGATGGATGTCACTTCAGCAGAAATGAGAAAATTTTTTGCAATATTCTTTCTAATGGGCCATACAAGGAGGGATAATCTGAAAGAGTATTGGTCAACAGATCCATTTTTAGAAATTCCAATTTTCTGCAAACTAAATGAGCCATAAGAAATTTGAGCAAATTTGGTGGTGTTTGCATTTCAATGATAATGAACTGCAACCACAATCAGCAAGCAGGCTTTTCAAAATTCAGCCCTTATTGACATTTTTTGTTCAGAAATTTCAGACAGTTTGTACGCCAAACCACCAACTGTCTTTGGACGAATCTGTGATTCCATGGAGGGGAAGGCTTCATATGCGAACATATAATATTGGGAAACTTACAAATTATGGCCTACTTGTTCGTGTAGTTACTGAAAGCACTTCAGGCTATATTGGAAATGTAGAAATTTATTCTGGTGAAGGAAAGAAATTACAAGAAACTATTCTTTCAATTTTGGAACCCTATCTTGATCAAAATTACCATGTCTATCAAGACAATTATTATAACAGTGAGGTAACTGCAGAATACCTACTTTCAAGAAAAGTACATGTTTGTGGAACAATTAGGGTGAGCAGAGGCCTTCCTCCAGATCTGAAATAGGACTGTAAATCCCTGAAACGTGGTGAAACCACATTCAGGAGGAAGGGGATATTCCTCTTCAGTCCAGGAGGGATACTCGTGTTGTGAATATGATTTCCACAATTCATAATTCGAGCATGGTTGATGTTCAAAGGAGACATGGACAGGTAAAGAAGCCTGTTTGTATTTCCAAGTATATGTTCATGAAGGGAGTTGATAGAGCCGATCAGTATTTGGCCTATTATTCTCTTCCTCGGAAAACAGTAAAGTGGACAAAGAAAGTTGCCTTGTGGCTCATAAAGTGTGCCATTTTAAATTCATTTTTGGTTTTCAAAAGTCTAAACCCTCATTCAGAATTGAAATACAAGGCATTTCTGCTGAATGTGACAAAAGCCTGGGCTACAGACCACACGGTGGCGGCAGACACAGTCTTTAGTGTGACCGGGCCTGTCTACTCCCACCCCACGCACGCCTCATTTTGACCCCCCTGGGCGACTCTCGGGTGATATGCAGAAACATATCCTCGTGACAATTGTGAAGAGTGAACATTCCAAGGGGAAGCATCCTTCTAGGCAATGCCGTGTTTGCGCAGTTCGCAAAAAAAGGAATATGACAAATTGTCAATGAAAATTCGTCGAGTGTAACAATGTTTTTAGGTCACTTACNTTTTAAATATTTTAACATTGACGGCTCAATTTGAGGGCAATTTTCAGATGGAATGCAAGAGTAGTACCTGCATTCAATGCTACTAGAAAGTGTTGTGCTTTTACACTTCGACACCTGTAATAGCATACACGCAGCTTACATACTGTGTACATTAAACAACGCCAGTGTTTTCAAGTGTTTGTAATACGTGCCTCTGATGATGGTTTCTCTTGAACCGAAACATGTAAGGCAAGTGAGATAAGTAAGTGACCTAAAAACGTTGTTACACTCGACGGATTTTCATTGACAATTTGTGATTGATAGTGTAACGGACCAAAAATGAAACAATTTAAAAGGAATATGACTGTTTGCATTAGCAAGTGCATAATGCCACTTCACAAAGGGGAATGTTTCCAGAAATATCACACTCTCAAGCACTTCTAGGAGCATTGGTAAGTGTTCTGAAAAATTTTTAGTTCATAAAATTAATTAGGAGATTTTATATTTTTTAAAGTGAACAGTGCACAAGTTACGGTAGTAGGTAAAAAAAT